TTTTTTTTTTTGTTTTATTTTTTTGATGTTGATCAGAAACGGGGCTCGAATCCAGTCTTGGGGAATTGTAGTGCGCACTGCACTACATCACAGCAGCCGCCTGTGTATCTACCCATATAAATTTTTTACAAAATATTCACAGACGGATGGANGTTTTGTTTTATTTTTTTGATGTTGATCAGAAACGGGGCTCGAATCCAGTCTTCGGGAATTGTAGTGCGCACTGCACTACATCACAGCAGCCGCATGTGTATCTACCCATATAAATTTTTTACAAAATATTCACAGACGGATGGAGAGCAGAAACACTATTGGAAATTCCATATTTTAAGCGCGCCCTTATCATCGTGACACACAACTCGATAGAGTGGTGGATTTGTTAGGCTTTAAACGTCAACATTTCGTTAATTTTGTATTGATAAGCCCTACTACAGCGAAGCGTAGCAAACGAGAAGAATATTTAATGCACTAATAAAAGTAACAATGAGATATTACGTCTAAATTAAAACAAAACAACGCTTTCAACGATCGCTCAAATAATAAATGAAAGGCACACACACAAAAAAAAAAAGAAAACAAATACTAACAAATTTGTATCACCAAAAAATGGAAAAAATCGTCACTTCCACGGAGCGCCTCGACGCATCGATCAGTTCCCAACACAACACCTACGGTAGCACAACGTTAAAAAATCGCGCTTCACCCACAAAAGATCAAACCACATCGGCCGAAATACACATCACTACTAACAGAGGAGCTCTCGATACGTACGACAAAAATTACGATCCCAACGATAGTGACAATTCAGTTGGGCATGACTATAGCAGCAGCGTTGTAGTAAACACTAAAGAACTCGTCTACCAGAGCTTACCAGCTCCGATCACTACTTATACGTCAAGTCTCTTTGCCGCTGCCTGTAGTGCTTCCTCAACGTCACGCTTTCAAGCGCCACATTCCGGTTACGCGCGTTACGGCTACAGCAGAATGTCAACGTTTATTGATGAAACACCTGGACCTAAGAAGTCTGTATGGCCCTCAACAACCCTGCAGCGCTTCGAAGTTATCCTCTTTGTACTGAATCAAATGTGTATCGGTTTTGTGACCATATTCATGTCCTGGTTGTGTATTACAAATGGACTGCAAAACACGCCGCTTCATGCGTGGCTGGTAACACTAGGTGTAAGTGTATTATTTTTGAAACTGAAATTTCGCATTTTTTACAATTCATATAAAAAAAGAGAGTACAAGTTTTGAATAATTTTATAAACGGCAGATTTTATTAAGTAATTATATCATTTATAAGGTTTAAATTATTCACTGGCAAAATAGTATTTATTTAGAGCACTCAAATTCAAACAAGTAATTTTAAGCAAGAAATACAAACGACTTCAGTGCTCATTTACAGATTTAGGCGTACCGTTAATTTCTTCATGATTCAATGATCAGAACTAAACGAAATTAGTATGGGACCACCCTTGAGATACCACCTTTCCGATAAAAGAAGAATTATCGAAAATCGTTCACGCTATCCAAAGTTGTACATAAA